TTGGACGGCCTTCATACAGAATTACAATGATCCCCGAATTTGAGTTCAGACCCTCGCCCACTGTTTTGGGGGCATTGATGGCACACTTGATTTCTTTGTACCTGAGGTGTTCTGTAAATCCAGAATAGTAAGACTTATTTTAAAATACTTCTGGTGAAGTATGTAAGAGTGTACACATGATAAAATAATTTCTAAATGCTTGAGGGCCTTTTGAGAGCTTGCAGACAAAGGCACTGTGACTTTAAAGTAGTAGTACTTTAGAATGAAAGTTCTGCGTTAAATGTGTCCGATGAAGAGTTAAGCTATTTTTTTAAAATAGGCTTCATCGCCTCTGCAGTGAAATGCCATTTCCCACTGATTTGATCAAGTATTTTCTCCTTAAGCCTTGCTTGCTTCTTCCAGGGCTCTGTGCTTGGCATGGTAATGAGGGGCTTCTGCTCTCACTGGCAGAAAGCTCCTGGCTGTGTCTTGAGCTATACAGTAAGTCCCCACTTAGTGGTCAGTCGGTTTTGTGACTTTAAGAGGAGCTGATGTATAGTGGAATTTTACCGTAGTCTAATTGATGTAAACAAGAGTTAAGTTTCTATGGCATCTCATCGATAGTGTAACAAATTGACGGGTGAAACAACATTATTAGAGGACCTGCTGTCCTTAGCTCCTTGCATTTCCCTGGCAGGGTGTGTGGAGCGCTCTTAAGTGGTAGGATTTGGGGAAAGCAGTTCTGTGACAAGCAAGGCTGTGGAGGAGAATCAGCTGGGGTTGCTCGCTTTTAATTGAAGTTTACTTGGAGATTCAATGAGGTGAGACTGTTATGACAGATTTCAAAATGTAATGATAGCGAAATGGAGTGGGTTCATCAACATCGGAGTAAATAAGAACAACAGCTCAGCGGCTCAGCAGGAAGCAACAGCTACAAACCCTCAAAAACTCCAGAGTAATTAAAATTTGCTTTGTGCAGCCCTCCTTCTCAGTGGGTACCTTTCCAAGGAAAGCAGTAACTTCACTGTGAAAAAAACAAACTCAGATTTGGAGATGTAAATTACATGCATGTTTGAATCTTGTTTATAAACACTGGAAGTTTTTAAATGTAATTCTAATCAAAGTACACAACTGCAACTGAAACCAGATTTGAGAAAGATCTCAAGTTGGTGAAAGGCCCTCTGGTCTCCCCTCACCCCTACGCCCTGCCAACACAGCCCTCCCCACCAACCCCCTTTTGTGTATTTGGGAGACAGGCGGAATTCTGTCCTCCAGTTTCAGAGCACACAAGTCCTGTCTCTCATTTGTTAATGTCAGAGAAGGGATAGTCCTTTTAACCGTTTCTCTCCACTTCCTCTCCTGTCACTTCCTGCTTTGGCCTATGCGTGTGATGTCAGTGAGGAAGAGACAGAGTGACCAAGTGTTGGAGAATTTGCAGCATGGAAAAGAAGGAGGAAATGTACCCCAATACTGTCCAGGTCCTTTTAGTTTCATACTTTAAAACATGACAGTGACCTCAAGGTGAGGCAGTTCTAAGGGTTGAACTGGCGTTGAAGAAATGTGTGTGGATTCTACCTTGCCTGCCCCTTGGCACCAGAATGATTTTAAACAAAGTCCTCCACTTCTCTGGGCCACAGTTTCTCCATCTGCTGAAGTCACTGAGTGGCCTAAAATGAGTTCTAGGTTTCCTTTTAATTCAAACTTTCCTTAATACCATGCCTCATGCATTCACTCCATTCCAGACAGGGTCCTAGAGATTCAAACCCAATGTACTACCCCTCTTTGGTTCCCCCTGTTGTAACACCAGGTGTCCCAGGAGTCAGAAATGCTTCAGAGAAGGCCCAAGAGTTTCCCCTGCTGAGAACTTTCCACACTGGAATGTAAGACCAGGATGGCTGAGACTGTTCTTAGAAGTCCTTGGGTCTGGTCTCACTTCCTCAACTTTGCAAGGGGCCCTCTTAGTACAGAAGACCTGATGTCATTCTAGACCATCAGAGCTCACAGTTGGAGCTCACTGAGATGACGCAATGTATTAATCCTACATACCCTATCTCTGCGGCATCTATACTGCATTTCCCTCCCTTTTCAGAGTAGGGTCATGGAAACTTATAGGACTATAGGGAGAGCTACTTATAAGAGCAATCATGTATATAAATCTACTTTCAGAAGAAGCTTAGCTTTAAGTGATCAAACCCAGAGTTTAATTTGTTGAGTCTTTTCAGTGTACTCTGTGTCTGGGTGAGTCCACCAGGAGAACATGAAATCAAGTTTTCCTTGATTGTTTTAGAGTGGAGAATAGTACAGTGAGATTTTAGCATTTGCTCTACCCGTATGTTACATGGTAGGAAAGGGTTGAGACTTGGAAGTAGAGTAAGAGAAATGGTTATGGGTTTGAAGAAACATTTTTTAATTGAGACCTTCATTCCCACCACTAAATTCCAAATGTCGTTTCAAAGGGCCATCAAGCCTTGCCTGAGTGAGAATTTACCAGCAGCATTTGTGATGGTTTCCTCAGGCTGCCTTGGAAAGGAAGCAGGTTTGGGGCAGGTTCCAAAAAGAGCTCTCTGAGCCAATGTGGATCAGAGTGTCAGAATAGTGACATTTCCAGATAAGTCCTGGAATAAGTCTTGGGGGTGGAGTGGGGACTCATTAGATGTATGTCACCAAACTGTAACCTTTAGAAGAACAGAAGAAAGGGTGAATGTAGGAGAGGGTAATGAAGTATTATTGCTAATTCTGTCATGATATTTAACATAGTTTTTCTTGATTTATAAGGATAGACATGTATATTGTGTTCATGCACCATTAGCAACAATGGCTGTGCCTTACACATTTTGTTATTGATCTTTTAATAAGGAGACTAAAATGGAATAATCTATACAAAGATAATGTTTCTGTTTTAACTAAAACTTATCAAATGTCCATAAGGAAATAAATTTTACCCAAAGTTCTCAAACTATTGGGTTAAGTATAAAAACTGAAACTATAAAACTCTTCAAAGAAAATGGGTAAACCTGTATAACCTTGGATTTAGCCAGTTTCTTAAATATGACACCAAAAATAAAACAATAAAGAAAAAACCAGATAAATTGGACTTCATCAAAGTTAAAAATTTTGTACATGGATGAACACTATCAAGAAAGTATAGCCACAGAATGGAAGAAAATATATACAAATCATATAGCTGATAAAGGGTCTAATATCCAGAATATATCAAGAACTCTTAAAACAAGTAAAAGACAATCCAATTAAAAAATTTGAAAAGGACATTTTTCCAAAGAAGTTGCAAATGGCCAACATGTACATGAAGAGATGCTCAACATCATTAACACATTGTTTGCGGGTAGTTTTTATTGCGCGCTAACAGGTGGCCCAGGTCATTTTTGCTAATTTTTTGCACAAATGGCAACGTTCAGTAAAATTACGATAACTTTAGTTTACGTATTTATATGTTACCTGCATTCTACCACTAGTCTATAAAAAACGTATTAATATGTGTCCCGTGCTCTACTACACTGGTAGAACGTATAAATACATAAAATGTATAAATACGTTTCCCGCATACAATGTGTTAATCATTAGGAAAAGCAGATTGAAACCTCAACGTGATACCATTTCATACCCACTAGGTTAGCTACTACCAAGAACAAAACTGGAAAATAGCAGGTGTTGATGAGGACGTGGAGAAATCAGAACCTGCTGGTGGGAATGTGAAATGGAACAGCCCCTGGGGAAGGCGGTTTGACAGTTCCTCAAAAGCTAAGTATAGGACTACCATATGGCCCACCAAGTCAACTGCTAGTTACACACCCAAACAAAAACTGTACACAAAAGTTCAAAGAAGTGCTATCACAATAGCCAAAGTGGAAACAACAATGTCCATCAGCTGGTGAATGGATGAACAAAATGTGGTCTACCATACAGTGGAGTACGATTCAGCCACAAAAAGGAGTGAAGTACTGATACGTGGTACAACATGGATGAGCCTTGAAAGCATAATCCTAAGAAACAATGGCTCGTCCACATGTTTTATGATTGCATTTATATGAAATGCCCAGAATTTATAAATTCATAGTGACAGGAAGTAAATTAGTGGTTACCTGAGGCTGGGGAGAGGAAGGAATGGGGAGTTCCTGGTTACTGGGCATGGGTCTCCATTCAGGGTGAGGAGAGCTTAGGATGTCATGCTGAATTGTGGTCAGTATCATTGAATTAAAAGGCAAGAGAACTCTCTCCCTGACACCACAGTACCACTTCTACCTGCTGTGTCTGCTGCTGCTTTCATGTCCCCACACAGCCACCTCCTGCATTCCAGGCTGTGTCACCAGTAGTCACCACACAGCATCTCTGGAGCTTAAAATGCTCCGCAGTCAGCTGTGACCGGAAGCTGCCATTCCCAGAGCCCTTAACATCTCCATGACACAGGGCAGTGCGGGTCCTGGAGCAAGCGGCTCTGGAACATGACGCCCAGAATGCCGTGCGAATGTTGAGAGGATGTGTCTCCTTTGGTCTTTTGGGTCTCGGCCCATCAAACTGGTAACTCTAGGCTTTGGGGACAGCGGAACTGCCACACTTTTACTTAAGCCGCAGCAACCTTGTATTTGGCGGGGCCACTGTATGTATTTGGAGGTGAACTGGATCCGCTTGGCAGTAGATGCCATGTTTCTACATCTGGATGAGCCCAAGGCAAAGAGAGCTCAGCCCTGCAGGTTGTGTACTGTTACTCCGAGGAGCCTGCCGTTCGGTGTCCTTGTGCCTGAGGGTCCAGCCTGACCTCCCCGCGTGTGCCCTGTTCCCGGCGGAGCTGTCCAGCGCAGTGCACAGTGGGGGAGGGAGAGCAGTCATAGCTATGATGGGAGCTGTCCCGCTAAGGAAAGGAGCTTATGGGTAGGTCCCAGTTTAGGCATTTCCCTGAGTCCAAACTCTATTAAATGTAGGAGCTAACGTGTCATCTTTTCTTTGTAACCATAAATCTAGTCTATCAGGCTTATTAATTTGTGTGTTTTTTCCTTTGCTTCCAGGAGAGTCGATCTGGAGAAACCAACAGCTGTGTGGAAGAAATAATCCGGGTAAGGATCTTCCTTTACAAATCTTACCAGCTGGCTGGACAGTCTCCAGATAGAAAGCAGTCATGTGGCTGCGTCGGCAGAGGGAGCTGGTCGTTCCGTGTCCGGCACTTTACCTTTTCTGCGGGGAGTCACGCAAGTTGCCTAAATGCCTCTTGATGAAACCGCACTTCTTTTCGAGATCTGGGAGCTGCTCCTCAGTTGGGTGCCTTTGCCGGGGCTGCAGGGGCACTGGATTCACAGGACTAGCTGGGAGGCAGGAGAACAGAGTTCAGGTGGCATACATGGCTGTGCTCACATTTGGAGGCCCCGTTTGTTAGGAGGCATTTAGAAGCAGCTGTAATGGTCTGTACGTTAAGTCGGGCGGGGTTGCCTTGTTGTTTTCCCCCTAAATTTAACTGGAATCGGAAGCACTCTGACGAAGAGGCATCTCGGAGTCTGGAAATGCACTTCGGTATTGCTTTGCATGTTACTACTTTGCGTGTTACTCTCGTAAACCTGTCCTTTTCGTCATGGTCCTACGGAGTGGATGCCCTCCAGGAACCGTTTCCTACCCAGAGGCACTTGGGCTGGGCTGTTGTCCCGTATTAGTGTTTTCCTGCGTGTCCAGACTTAGAGTCAGTGTCCTCTTCATCCATTTTTCTCCTCACTCATATTTTAGGGGTGTAACCTAATAATTTACAGTTCTCAGCAAGCTGACACTGCGTTCGGCAGAACACCAAGATAACTTAGACCAGATGGTGTGGAAGTTCTTTCCTTATAAAGGAAGAAAAAAAAAACTTCATTTTAATATGTTTCTAAAATTTGGACACCCTACACACTTTTTCTTGAATTTCTAGTGAATTACAGTAACATGATTATTTGGTTAAAACTTTACATTAACCATCAGATTGTTTTCTGGGACAGGATATTTTTTTTCTTCCTGGAAAGCATTATGTCATAAGTAAATCTTGGAACTCAAGTTGACCAAAATAATGAATTAAAGTTCGATTTGTTGAATTAATACTGACTTTTGTTTTTCTGGTAGAGATTTATATAGAAAACATTTTCAAAGCGGGTAGCTTCTTTTCTGGCATTTAAGGATATGTTAAAAAAAATACAGATTTTATTTTATATCTATGTTTTCTCTGTCCTGGAGTTTTGTTTCAGATTAAAGAATAGATCGTGTAAAATGCTGATATACTTTTCCTGTTTTTCTCTTTCAGTGTACTTTCCTCTTTGAGTCCAAATATTCAATGTTTAAGGCCATCTTCCTTTGGTTGGTTATGGTGTTTACATCTATGGAATAACAATACCAGAACACACCGGGCCCCTCTTGGGTGCTGCTCTTTAAAACACTACCCCCTACCCTTTCCTATCTTCTCTGAGGATATAGAAGAAATCTGTCATGTGACCCTTCTTCTCCATACTCCAAGCAGAGCTCGAAGTTTGAGTAGGAGCTTGAGTAATTCACACAGACCAAAAGGATATAGTGTAGCTCTGGCCGGCTTGGCTCAGTGGATAGAGCGTCAGCCTGCGGACTGAAGGGTCCCAGGTTCGATTCCAGCCCAGGGCACCTGCCTGGGTTGCAGGCTCAGTCCCCAGTAGGGGGTGTGCAGGAGGCAACCGATCAATGATTCTCTCTCATCATTGATGTTTCTCTCTCTCTTTCCTTCTCCCTTCCTCTCTTAAATCAATAAAGAAATATATTTTTAAAAAAGGATATAGTATAAGTAATGTAAAGTGTACCTAGAATAAACTGAATGCTGCAGCCAAGAGTTTAAAGCTTAGTTTTTTTTCCTTAAGAGAACTGAGGAGAGCCTCAGTCTGCCTTACCCCACTGCTGCGTTCCCAGGACACTGACCCCTAGTGCATCGACCACTGCCACAGCCCACCTCGAGTCGGGTGTGGATAAAAGGGAAGGCCTGGACCAACCAGATCATTGATTCATATGCATATGCAAGGTTGAGGGTAGTGGAGGCGGTGCCTTCATTAGCAGACAGCGAGCTCTCGGTAAGCTCCCCTCTTCCTAGAGCCCATGTAGAGTGGTCCGGGACGAGAGGAGCTGCAGAGTTGGAGGAAACAGTGCTGCACAGGCAGACTTTGCCTCTCTCCTTACCTGTCAGCCTGAGGTATTGGTCTTTGGTATCTAGGTAGTAGTTGGCATTTAGGCAGCTCTTCGAAGACCCTGTCAGTGTTCTCATTTTGCCTGGACTGTTTTCTGGCTGTCCCTTGCCCCACGCACACCATTCACTCTCCAGGATCACCTTCCCCTCTTACCGTAAGCATGTCCTCTCCTGCAAACAAGCACGGGCTCTCTGAGCTGCAGCCTACTGTATGTGTATCTGTATTTGATGTGCATCAGTATTGCCCCTACACTGTGGCCCCCGTGTCTGGAATTTAGAATTCACGATTTTGTTGTGTGGATAAGTTAATGAGTGAGTGAGTGGAAGAACCCTCCAAAAGAGAAGGGTGAGTATCATTTTGGCAGCTCACAAACATTCTTTTGGCCGTAAATCAGGGAAACAGTGCCCTGGCCCTTTCAATGCTGGGTTCCCATGGCTGGTCTTTGTGGAGCCCGGTTGTCCTGGTGAGTTTCTCTCTCCTTGTGGTCCAAGGTCACCAAAGTTACTTGTTACTCACGGCCATCACGTTTAAGTGAAGGTTCCCTTTTGTTGTGGAGTAAGAGCAGGGGCATCAACAAATGCCTTAAAATGATGGAAACTGGGATATTCATTTAACATGTGTGAGTGTGCCCTTTTCACTGGGGGAACGACGGTGGGCCAAACAGACATGCCCCCTCTTCAACTCTACAGAAAATATAGCTAAGTTTTCATTTTACAAATAAATGTAGAATGTCAATTGTGATAAACACTTATGGTTTTATGACAGCCTCTTCATCATAGGGCACGTGACCTAGTTTTGGGTCAAGAACAGCTTCCCCGAGGAAGCACCATTTGAACTGATAGTTGGAGGATGAATAGGAAATCAGCCTCGGGGATGCAATGGTGAGGGTTCCAAGCAGAGGGCGTGCAAGAGCTTGGCTTGCAGAGACGCAGAAAGGCCAGGGAAGGCCAGAGTGGCTGGAGTGCATGCGGATAAAGGTCAGTCGGAGAAGCCAGATGTGCTGGGTATCAGTATTGCTCCTACACTGTGGCCCCGGGGTCTGGAATTTAGGATTCCTTCTCGGCCATGTTCAAGTTCCCATAAGCACAGGGAGCCAGTGAAGGATTCAGACGGGAGCAGTGTGGTCACATTGGCAATGTAAATGCACCACTAGCTGCTTCGGAGAATGGATTGAGGGCAAAAGGGATGAAGAAAAGGAGTGGAGGGTATTGCCAATGTCCAGAGGGGAGATGCTTTGTGGGGCACTCACAGACAAGGGAGCAGTGAGGGAGATGCTGGCTTTGAGGCAGAGAGGAAATCATAAATTATTTTTAGTCATGTTGAGTTTAAAGTACCTTTTGAGACATTTCAGTAACATGGGGAATGTAAATGAACATACATGGGTCTGGAGCTCAGAACAGAGGTCTGAGCTGTAGACCAACATTTTTGGATTAATTAGAATGTTGGCAATAAAACCACAGAAATGGGTGAATTTGCCTGGGGAGACACTAGAGGCTGAAGAGCAATGAGAGTCTAAATTCCAACATTTAAAGGTCAGGAGAAGGAAGATCCAGTGTCCAGGGGAGACGAGAGGGAGTGGTTGGAGACACCGAGGGAAAACTGTGACAGTGAAAAGTCCTACAACCCATGGAAAGAGCGTGTCAAGCTCAGTGGTGCCCAGACTTTCCAAGGGGACAAGAGAGGCAAGGATCGAAAACCACCTGATGGACTGGGCAAACGACAGAAAAGTCACTGGTGACTCACCTGGAGTGCTGGTTCTGTGGGGAGGCTGGGTGAATCCAGTCTGGAGAGATGGAGTCAGTGAGTTCTCTGAACAGTGAAAAGTCATAGAAAGGCCACAGTTCGTGAGGAAAGGCCGTAGTTTCCATTGGGATCCCTTTCATTTGCAGTAAATGTGACATACTGTGACAACTCCCAGATGATGGAGAGCTAGCATTTATGATGAGTGAGACACTAACTTCCTTGCATGTGCTAACTCATTGAAGCATCACAGCTGCCCACAGGGAGGCACTGTTAACATCCCCACTTCACAGATGAAGAAACTGAGTCGAGAAGTTAAATACAACTTGCCCAAGGTCACAGAGTGAGTAAGTGGGAGAGTTGGGATTTTAACAAGCATCATCTGGCTTCAGTACCCTCTCTCTGTCTTAACAATTATGGTGTTTTATTAAATTAAGAAGCAACCCCCCCCCCACACACACACACACACACAACTCGCTGGTTCATTAATGAAACCACTTGTGTATTTTACTGTGAGTGGGAGGTTTTCCATTTTTACATGTTTATGAATCAGAAGTGCCAGATCGCGCGTTTGTGCACTTGAACTCAATAGAGGTTTTGTGGACAGTGTTACAAACTTTATTTTTTTAAATCCTCACCCAAGGGTATGTTTTGCTTTGTTTGTTTGTTTAGGAGAGAGAGGAAGGGGGAGAAGGAAAGAGAGAAACATCCATGTGAGAAACATCGATCTGTTGCCTCTCGTACACACCCCAACCGAGAACCAAACCAGCAACCTTTTTGGTGTGTGAGACAACGCTCCAACCAGCTGAACCACCCAGTCGGGGCTCCAACTTCATTTTTAAACTTCTTTCTCTTTCCCCTGTCTTATTTTTGCCGAGGTGACTGTTTTCAAGTCATTTAAATATTACATTATGTTCTAAAGGGTAATTATTTTTTAATTTTTACTCAGAGAATTTTAATCCTAGGACTTAATAAATCTGTGTACTATTGAAAAATTCACTTAACCGAGGGAGACCTTATAACTGACTTCCATGAAGATGGGCAATAAGGGCTGGAAGCCCTCGTGGCTGACATCTGTTTATAACAGACAGCTTCCTAAGTTACACAATATTTCACCGTAAAGGCTCTGGTGCTATAGTACTTAGGTGCTTTTCATA